GGCAGTGAGATTCCCCACCAGGAATTCAGTGGTTGGCTTTCACTTTCCAGCTACCCTCTGTAATGACAAGATGACATAAAAAGAGTATAGCAGCTACCAATATCTTACCCTAGATATTAATATACTTACTTAATCCATGCAACAATATGCACTTACTTATGGCCAGTATGTTCTTAAACCTAGACTAGCCACATCATACTAAAAAAATATAGCTCATGACCCACTGGTATTTTGTACTGCAACATGAACCCCAACTCCAGCCCTAGGATTCACCCAACAACCCATGCTGGAACAAACCTTAAATTTAAGAGGCATTTCACAGCATGGCAACTCTTTCTCTACCACTTCAGGGAATCTGGTATGCCAGATGTTACCCCAGCCCTAGAATCACTGTTAGTCCACAGGATCTTGCCAGACTTAGTCCTAAATTAAGAACAATGGCTGAGCTATTGAGCACTCATGAAGCCAAATCCTAATCCAAACCATAATTTTGAAGATATTTTTAGCTCACCAATCTTTGTAAGGCTCAGAATATCTAGATGACTTCTGGTGGCTGCAGTCCTAACCTCTAATCATGAGACCTCCCAAATACAGCAGTCCCTGTCAGGCTAATCTCTTACAGTAGTATTACCCCAGGTTTCACTCACATTTGAAGCCAGCAACTACTGCCTACTCCTATTGCCCTGACTCTAAACTTACAAAATCATAGAATGGTTTGGGTTGGAAGGGACCTTTAAAGGTAAAGATGTCTCCAACTAGATCAAGTTGCCCAGAGCCCCATCCAACCTGACCTTGAAGGTTTCCAGGGATGGTGCATCTATCACCTCTTCGGGCAACCTGTTCTAGTGTTTCACCACCCTCAGTGTGAAAAACACCTTCCTTCCATTTAGTCTAAATCTACCACTCTTTTAGTTTAAAGCCATTATCCCTTGTCCTATCGCAACAGGACCTGCTAAAATGTCTGTCCCCATCTTTCTCAGAAGCCCCTTAAAGTACTGAAAGGTTGCTATAAGGTCTCCCCAGAGCCCTCTGTTCTCCAGGCTGAACAACCCCAACTCTCTCAGCCTGTCCTCATAGGAGAGGTGTTTCAGCCCTCTGATCATTTTTGTGGCTCTCCTCTGTACCTACTCCAACAGGTCCCTGTCTTTCCTGTGCTGTGGGCTTCAGAGCTGGGTACTTTGCCTATGTACAGCAACTGTGCTGGATAAGGAGTGCTCACTGGTACTCGGGCACCAGACAGCAAAGCCCATGAAATTACTACCAGTAATTACGGAAAGGTAGTGCAACAGATGTTCTGAATTTCTTCATTTAGTGGTGATGATACATCAGAAATCTCCTACCTGATACTGAATCTATTCTGGATTTCGCTACATAGTTTTTAAGCAGTTTCCTCACAGACAGGTCAGAAGCTTCTTCTAATGCACACCTTCCCATCTCATTTTTTAAAAAGGGATCAGCTCCATACCAAAGTAGTAACTCTGCCAACTAGAAAAATAAGTTTTTCAGATTGTTTCTTTTCCAACAGTATTTTCCATACTCCTTCCTTATACAGGCTTCTCTCTCTTGGACGTGACAATATGAGTAACTATCTAAGGCATATGACAAATAAACGCTCTCTATTCTAATTAATGTACCCCAAGCATTCCCCTAGATGCATCATTATCCTATAGTCTTATTATTTTAATTTTCATAAATTCATTCCATTTATTAATCTGATGCCATTAAGCCAAATTCTCCCAAAATACAGGGTAAGACATATCCCCCCAATAGCTCTTCATCGGTGGAAAATAACAGGTGATGTTAGGGTATGAGTCAGCTTATCTATTAAAGATCTCTACATTAGGAGAAAATAAATTGTGCTCTAGGTGTGTCTAGTCCCTGTGACTGGTAAAGCAAGCTTTGGCAGCTATTTCAGAAGTACAAAACACATCTGGTCAAATGAAACCCACTCAGATCGTCTCACAAACATCACTATTTCTGTATAAATGTAAAGCCTGATTCTGTTGTTACTCGAGAAATTATCACTTTAGCAAAATGTTCCATCTATCTTTGAAGCACACTGTTTTAAGATATGGGAAATTTACAATCTGATTATTCCCTTTCAGTGGGTAACCTGCAATCTTACTCTATCACTGGGTGTGGTTTTACTTGTACCTCTGCCTTTCTCCCTTCAGCATGTGTTGCCATTTCAGACTGAGCTTGACTTGCTTCACTCATGCATTTAAAGTACCTCATTACTTATAACCAGATTGCTACAGAGAAAATTGTTAGTGAAGTTTTCTCAATTCATACATTCTCCTAACAACAGAGCAAATTAAAAAGGGTTCAATTAACAGCAAAAATCCTCTTTGGCTTTACGAGTTGTCCCAAATCCATGGATTTTTTCAAGAAGTAATGTTGAGAACTCTTTTCCTTAATCAGACCTTTAGCTGCACATCACACTTGTATGCTCTCCCCCTTAAATGGACTTCATATACTTACGATTCTTCTGAAATAAAAATATAACTTTGCCATATCGCAGGTGCAGAAATGAATAAAGCAGTCAAAAGGCGTGTTTCCAATCTACAATAATAACTTCACACGGAGAAAGTAGCTTTGAAAGGAACAGCTCAAAATACCATGTTGCCTAAAGTCATTACTGAATCACTATCACTATTTTGTTGCTAGTCAGAAGCAACAAAAACTAAATCTGACAGACCATGCAGTGATACAACTACACTGCTCACCATTCCCTGGGGATATACCAGCTCACATAACCCTAACACAGCTCTGTGTTGAATGATGTTGGTGTGCCCCAAGTGACCTAGTTGAGATCAGTGCTCCTCCAATATCATTCGAGTTGCTGACTCCTAAATATTATTTGTGGAGATGCAGAGTCCTTGAGGCATAATTATGGACATGGTGTCTTAGGTACTTTCACAGGACTCAGAAATATTTCATGAACCCATAAGAGTCTCTGATTCACAAGCTGAAAACCAAACTTGGGGCTCTCAAGTCTTAAAAGAAAATTATTAACCAAAAGTCCACCCTTCCTCTTTGCTCCAGGGAGACTTGGGGAGAAACAGATTAAGCCTTATCTCCATTGTGAAACAGAGTGACAAAACTATTGTCAACAGGACATTTAGGGACAAAACTATTATATAAAAAAAAAATTAGATCTTGGAAATAAATAAATATTAAGCAGCATGTGTGCACTTCTAGAGAAAAAAAACAGCAAGCAGGTAAAAGGGACATGCAGAACTCCTACATAGATCTGGGCTACCCTAGGAACATGCACAGACAGACAGGGCGAGGCAGCCACTGCCAGATTGAAAGAGTATCCACAATTTAGACACAGGATTATGAAACCACAGCATTTGGCAAGAAACCTTTCAATTAATTCACATTGACTACTCAGTTGACTTTCTGTTTAAGACCATACAAAATATAAATCCATGTCTTCCTAACCCTCCATGCTATGTGTTAACACATGAAAAATGTCTGTGCATGGCTCTGGCTGCACACCATACATACATGTTTATAAAATAATGAAAAAAAGTCATTAAAACTCCAGATGACTGCTCAGGTCATAAATTATTCTGCAAGGTGATTCTAAAATAAGTGAAACAATAATATCAAACAATAGCAATCTATTCCTCGGTATTTCAGACATAGTCCCGAACAGTTAGAAAAACAATTAATTTCTGCTTTTGGACAAATCTTGTAAAGCACGGAATGGTTTGAGCAGAAATTGGGCAGAAAGGATTTCCAAACCTCCTGAATTTACCCATAATCTGAAAATACCAACTACATGTAAAAAGATTATGTGACCTTTTTACCCAACAACAATCATTTCTATTCCTAAACCACCATTTGTGTTCAATTTGGAATATACCTCATAATGACCTTCTTTAACTGCATCTTGCAATGGTGTTACTTGTTCATTTCCTCTAGCATTAACATCAGCTCCTGCTTTCAAAAGCTCATTTGCTATCCCATAAAAGCCTTCCACACTTGCTATATGTAGTGCAGTCCAGCCTATGAAAAAGAAATGCCTCTATTTCACATTTGGGTGAAATAATTTACAAACATTTATGTGTTTTTTAGGTTGTGTATTTGATAAATATTTCAGAGACTATACTGAAAAGGTAAAAACTGATGCATTTTACAATAGGTTGTATGAAGAAATGTTTATGAGAAGACACAAGGGTTGAGAGATCTCATTCTTTCGTCAAAATTTGCACTTACTGAAGAACGAGGTGCTGCTGTAACAATATTAGTTTTAGATTTGATAGTTCTGTTACAAAAGAAAAGAATATAAATTATTCCACCCACATGGTTAGTAATTTCTCCCCAAATAAAATATATACACTATTTTAAGAACAAGATAATTTTTCATGGCGCTCTTTTCTTCACATGGACATGATGAATAGGGTAAGTAAGAAAGAAGAGACAAAATAAAGACGTGGGGTGTTTATTGCCAAACAAAAATGTTTTTTAAGACTCTCCAACAATGCTTTGAGTTTCCAGAGAAAGCAACAAAAAATCCTTCCTGAAATTCCATATTCATTCCCCACTATACAGAATAAACCAAGAAAGGAGCTTCAAGACCCACAGAACAGTTCTACTCCATGAAAGAAGTGTTGAGGAAAACTAAAAGATGGAATGCAAATCTTTGAACTGGATTTAGCATAGCCTTGCATCAGCTCCTTAAACATTGATTATGTGACAGTTTTTTTGTAGAGTGAGAAAAGTAAGGGAAAAAGACAAAGGATCTTCCACTTTCTATCTTCCAGCTCTCGAACCATCATTCCCTCCAGAAGAGCATTTTGATGGACAGTCTTACTCTTCAGCCATCTCCCATTATCAGCAGGTTGTCTGGGCCTAATTCACATACTAAAAATGTGAATTAATATGTGAGTTAGGCTTATTAAGAGTGTTCTGCTCCCATCAATCAAAATTATCCTTATTTCATTGGAAAGAGAAATTCTTGAGGCTCTCTTATACACCACCCAACCCAGAATATTGTTATATTTGTATAGAATTGGGTTTATCATGGGCACAGGATACTGCAAAAATTTTGTGCTATTAGGCTTTGTTCCTGAACACTTAAAACGCAACTAAGTTTTAACTAAATCACCTAATGTTGACAGTGCTTCAAGATCAGTTGTTTTTAACAGTATCATCTGTAAAACATTTTAGTTGCATTTTTATAGAGCCTATTTCATTAAGAAACTCTAGTAACTCTACATTCTGGAGCAAAAGCTTGAAATCTGCTTGAAAGGGGAGGATAAGAAAGGTTTACTTAGAGGAAAGTACCTATTTCTCCCTCAATAACAAGTATCCCATATTTGACATACTAATAAGCCCCTGAAAAACTGAACCTGCAACATGTTCAATTGATAATCATTAGAGTTTATCAACCTGATTCTTCAAAGACATTGTGCATGCTTCAGACCAAGGAGAACTACAAGTTTCATTCTAATCGTTTTTCAGCTCCCTCAAGGCACTGTGAATCAAGACTTAAACTGAGAGCACGGACAGTATCTCTCCCGTGCTGCCTATATCCTATGTGCTGATGTCCAGGAATTAAAATGAGAAAAAAATCCCAAAGAACCCAAGAACTCAGTAAGGTACTGAAGCAAGAGTACTGAAGAACAGAAGGAAAAATGCTAGGCTAAGATACGGATAATCACTGGTGGAGGGCTTTAAAGGAAGAGAAAAGGCACAGAGGCAGAATATAATATGAAGACAGTGAAAGTACATTTCAAAATGGCACAGGTCTGGCAACCCTACTTCTTTCTGATTACAAGTCTCTCACTAGAAAAGAAAGAAGTAGGGCCACGTCAGGCTCTCATGTCTTTAAGAAGTGCAACTAAAAGACATTTTGTGCAGTTGTGCTCCTTTTGCACCAAAAAATAGCAGCCAGAGTCTGTGGGATGACGAAACAGTGGCCTGGCAAAATGTGCAAAGGCAGCAAAAGGAAGCTGCTGTGAGACCAAAAACTGGAACCACTGCACTTTAGTACACTTGCCCACAGAGGCTGCAGCTGAACCCATATTATCAACATTTGCCTGTGGTCGGCAGGCAGCTTTGAAACCCACCAACAAAATATTTTGTCATCTACCTCTAGCACAAGTTAACACACATTATAAGTCACTCTGTTAGCTCAAATGCCAGAGTTCTATGCTGTAAAAGTCTGAAATTTGCTGCTGACCCAATCTATCTTGCAGTATATTCCAGAAGATGGAGAAATTCTACCTTAATTTTGGTCTGTTATATGCCTGCATTATGCAATAGCCTTTAACTGCAGAACATTTTTTTTTATTGCCACAGAACGGTTCTAAAATCCTAGCCACAGCACAGGATGGAAACACTCTAAGAATGAATCAGTTTTCTACCATATGAGCCAGCTGTCTGTGAAATCATTTCTCTTTTGTTATGGAAATGGATAATGCCTAATGGATAAGACAAGGAACTTTAAAATAAAGAACAACAGTCTTACCTTTGAAACAGACAGTTGATACTTTAGGGTGTGGCAATGTCTTTGACACAGAGTACCACACCTGGATAAGGTGAATTGCTTCAATCAAAATGTTCACAACGGGCCACTATTTGTCATTCTTTTTTTTGGTGCCCAAGATGAAGTAAAAATGCAAAATACCAAGTACTCAGAACTTTACAAAATCAAAGCAGTGCTAAATTATGAAGCTACAAATTCCTTTAAGATGCAAGGGACAAAAACAGAGTCCCTGAAAAATTAAAATGGAAAATCTAAATCTCAAGTTGGCCACTGATATGGACCCTAAAAAAACTTTAAAAAAACATTATGCTGATTATTTAACAAAGGGACTGTTTTGTAATAAGCGTGCAAAGGATTGTTGAATTAAGGCTGAGTAAACTTAACTGCATCACTTTGTAATTTTTTAAGTGCTTACTTTTTCTGCTAAAGTTTCTTTTTTAATGTACTTGTATACATAGGTCTATATATTTTTGCATGAACAATTACCAAGTTAAACCAATAAAAAATTAATGATCTACCGACTAGTCACAAACATACAGTCTTGTCTAATGCACAAACTCATAATATGCACTTTTATTAGTTACAGGTGGATACTTGTTTTGAAAACAGTATTTTAATACAATTGCAACTTACCTGCATAATCCTTAACATTTACATTTCCACCAGCTTTTATTATGTTACGTATGAGGTCTAAATCTTGATGATCAACAGCTCTATGGAGTAAGGTCTCACCATAAATATTCCTCCTATTGATTGTTGAAAGTGAAATGGGGTAAACAGAATTTACAAAATTCCTACCAAAGGCTTCTTGTCCTGAAAAATAATGTAGAAGATCTGTTGAACAGAAAAATATATTTCCTCTCTTATTTTGGCTTCATTTTGTATTACAGTTAGTAAATAAGCTTTCTGGAGTAAAATGCTCATTCAGTCTAGTAAAAACAAGTATCTCAAGGAACATGTTACCAATTAAACAATAATACCATTCAATAAAAGATGCCATTGTGAATTCCATAACAAAACTCCAATTGAAATTGAACACACAGGAAAATGACTTCGTAAAAGTGTGTTAAAGTTTAGACTTTTCCTTTTTAACGACATTTTTGCAAAGTTCATTGTTTCCCACTGGATGATAAAACTGCTATTGTAGGTTACAATTCATTAGCATTTCAATAGTTAGTCAGTTCTTTAATAATTTCTCTTTTCTTAAAAGTTAAATTTATTAGCCATTCTTTTGTACTCATTTATGTTTTAAAACCTCTGTTTTGTGAGCAAGGAGTATTTACACTAGGATAGTGATTGAGATTAGCTCCTGCAGATGACTTTTCCCTGTTACTTCATAACCAGCTCAGACATTTCTGCAATGAGTGAAAGGTGAATAGTTGCTTGGGAATATGAGACATAAATGTAAAAAATAAAATGTAAATGATACTATTTTTAATTTTTAGTTTTTTATTTTACAAAAGAAATGCTATCTCCCATTATGTGCTCATTACAGTTTTCAGCTTGGGTGAAATTATTTCCAATACATAGATAAGCTGTTCTGCACTGCACCAGCAGTGCCATCCCAGCATCCCTTCATATTGTGAAGAAAAGCATCCTGGGCACTACCCCTTCTGAAAAATAGGGAGGGAAGAAAAAAGGGAAGAAGGAAAGGACAGGAGATCACCTGCAGGAAAGCACAATGCATAGCCTAGGGCATTAATTGATCTACTAATAAAAAACCTTGGGACAGCAGGCTATATACACTATTCCTCTCCACAAGCTGTAGCAGATGTGGCTCACTGGCCCTAACAATATGCCAAATAGACATTTTGAATATGACCTTAAAACACATAGTTCTCCTAGAGCTGTAACTCACAAAGCCCAATGTTTTGTGCATGGTGATATACTGTGACCTCAGACTAATTCACAACCTTCTTAAGTTCTTGACTCTGTGTAGATTTTTAGAATCTAACAGACACAGGTTTACCCAGGACCTTCCCTCAGCTGAGCACATGGATAGTCCCTTTCCTCTACCCGTCCAGCCCTGCAAGACCTTAATCATTTAATCTACTGTAGTCCCTAGTCAAAACTGGTCTAAAATAGCCAAACAATTCAGGAGGCATTAAACCACACAGACATACATACAACAAGGTGCAGTTTTATGTTACACAACCCAATTTAACTTGTTACTTCAAGAGGACCTATTTCCCATCATTTCTACCTTGCCTTCTCTAGCGCTTTCCTTTTCTGCCTGACCTCGTGCAAAACAAGTGATGCATGCTGATACAAGCTGAAACTTTCTGTGGGACTGTTTTTTCAGTGAATTCCCAAACTTAGATGACTCACAGACTCTTGATTGCTAGGTCTGATGCAAAAGGGAGCTAAACTTGCTAGATTGGATTTAACATGAAGCTACCTCTATAGGCAGTGCAACTTTTTCTTCAGAAATCATGCTAAAAAAACCAACAGCTTATTTTTTCAGTAGGAACTAGTAAGTCAATTTGAAATAGATGAGCAGTTAGTCATGCAACTTTAAATCTTGTAAAAATGGTGCTTCCACTGGGAATAATTAAAACCCTACAGAAAAGAAGGGTTGTTAATTGGAGGTAGAATTATTCATATTTTGTAAGATCTATAAGGTAGCTGTTACAGTTCAAATACTTCCAAACTTTGTAAGCTGTTCAAGTGATCATAGGTGCACACATAAATACAGATTGAGTGGCCATAAACAAAAAAGTCCAACTTTTAAGACCCCAACCCTAAAGGTCCTGGAGTGAGCATTTAGGTGAGGAAATTCTGTATTCTCACACACACTTCTTCTGCAAGGCAAAGAATTTCTCTGCAGGCATCTTCAAAGGATGAAAAATAGCAATCTTTCTAAAGCATACTGCAAGGAAAAATACTTCAAAGAGTGCTCCACAACTTTGGTAGTGAAGGCCCTATAATCCTATGTTTAAAACAGACAAGATAACAGCAGCAAGCATTCAAAATAGAATAAACTGGATTGTATAGGTCAATTCTTGGGGATGGCACTGCCCTCAGAATGATGTTTCACACAGAATACTAGATTAAATAAGGATACATAAATGTGTATCAGGATCTACACTGTCACCCTACATGAAAACATTTTTTTTCTGCTGTTCAGAATACATTGTAATTTTTTCATATACAACTGCGATAAAAATTGCATCCTGAAAAAATTTTCATGATTCTTAAGGAGTTTATGCAAACAAGTCAACTGTTGGGTTGCTAATATGTAGCTTCAAACAAGTGAGAGAAATTAGCAATAAATTTAATTATTAAAATTAATGTTTATACCATCTTTTTTAAAGAGATCCATGCCACAGTGTATAGGAAAGGTTATTAATTATATTTGATTCAGCTTAGTTGTTCAAATAAAAAAAAAAATCTGTATGATAAACATCAGAGAATATCTTACTTAGTCTGTTTTTGATTCTCTTGCTCCTTCTTGTCTGTTGAGCTTTTCTATCCTTATTCAGAGTTATCTCTTGGCATAAGTTGGTTTCTAGATCCTGCTTGTCTTTAGAAGTAGATTTCTGAATTTTACTGACAAGAGATTTGCTTAGAATCAACAAAAATACTCTCTTCTCTATATAAATCGATGTTTATAGTAGAGCTAAGAATGTGACTATATTTGATTTTAAAAGGAAGTTTGTAATAGCATGCAAGTATATAGGCTAACTTAGTACTGAATGAAGAGTAAATCAGGAGAGAAACTAACTTCCACATCTTTAAATACAAGGTAAACCCCTTAGCTTTGAATCATTTAAAGTGATTCACATGAGAAATGAGTACTCTGTATGCATTGTATTTGTTACATTAATTAAAAAAAAGAATTTAAGAATATTATGCATGATTTTATCATACACAAAATCCTTAGCTTTGTTTCTTGTTGTCCTGCCACTATGAGACATCCTCTGCTGAATCTCGTCTAGTATTTGGCGATGACTGGAAACATGATCTCTGCACATTCTTGAAGAGGTCTCTCTTAACTGTACTGCTTTCCTTAATGCTGTTTGGGCTGTTTCTGCACATGCTGCAGACTCCACTGAATGTGAACTTCCCTCCCCAGTTTGCTTTTCACTAGAGGTGGCACCCAAGCAATCTGAAATTACTTCTTTCTCTCTCTGCTGATCACCCACAGGCTGTGACAAAAAGAAATATTACAAGCAACTGGTAAGCATGGCTATATATATAAGAGCTCCAAGAACACTGCCTTATAAATCTGTATGCTTACAGACAATGGAGGAGTTGCTTAAGTGAAAAACTGGAATTCTACAGATACGAGAGACAGAGGTTGCCATAGGAGGGACACTCCTAAAGTAGTATGCCACACCATGTGCCCCTGGCAGAATTAACCAAGGGAATTAGAATACTCAGAATCACAACTTAAATAATAAATATAGGCTGGCTGACAGTGAACAAAAGTTGTTACTATCTGGAAGTTGTTTGGTTGGACATATGAAATGACTTAACAGATTCATTTCAGTTTCCTATGGACATGAGTTCCTGTCCTAAAAAATAAAGTGATGTTTAGATGTCTTAAGCTAGCCCATCTTATCTCACTCTCGCACAAGCCTAGAAATGTGCACAAAATCAAGAACCATGTTTCACCTGAGGTTCAGTAACTCCCAGCTGAGAAGTTATTTCTAAAGACATACCATCCCTGAGCTACAGCCACCACTAATGAGATTCACTTCACTTACCTTCAGCCTTCTAAAAGCCAGGCGTCTAGATGCCACTAGGCATCCTCATTACCTCTACCACTGATGAAGAGGAAGAGCTACTTTCAGAGATGATGGTGATTCACCTCATCCTAAGTTATGCAAAGGGGAATCTAAATGACTGGTGCATTACCACAGGCTTATCTCTTAAAGTAAGAGAGGTAAATCCCATCCTAAAGATATGTCATCACATGGCAGTTAATTTGAGTTACTTGAGTTTATTCAGTGTTTTAGTCAAGGGATTGTGACGTGCTGTTGAGTATTAAGCAAGTTGCTGAAACCTGGGTACTCATTAGCTTACTACACACTTGAGTAATGCTGAAAGCTCTTAGGGCATACCCTCAGCACACATGCATATAAATTCTTTCACAGTGATATGGGAGAACTTGTCAGTCCTTTCTTGGGACACAGATGGAAATGGAGGATTTACTGATTAATATTTTTAATTGACATATTCATCAGAGAGGCTACTGAAGAGGTGAACTGCATTCCTACAAGTGGTCCCTCTGGGTCAAGAGATGATGCATGTTACCATGGCAGCTGGGGAAAAACAAGTATTTCAGTTTACAAAACCATCAATGCAGTACTTTCCACAGAATTACATCTGCTATGGGAGGAGGGTTAGAAAAGAAGAAAACATTTCAAAAAGAAAAAAAAGCCACTTCATAAAGGACCTCATATATTAAAATAAATGGGCTATCAAGCATCCTGATTGCATCTACAGGACACTACAGACTCTCCTCTTTTGGGTACTTGTTTCACCACAACAAGAATACTCTTAAGAAAAAAGGATGAGAAAAGACCTAGGTGAACAATATACTGTTAGAACTCAACAACTACTAAAAAGTAACTAGGATTTTTTCTCATTAAATTGCCTCCCTAATTTCTGCCTTCAGGAACAGCAGATGGAGGCACAAAAAAAGCTAAAATCAATTATCAATTGACAAGAGGTTATAGATCCCCATTCCCACATGACCCTCCTTCACAATCTTAACTGCAAGATTGAGTAAATCTACACATTAAGGTTCACACAGCTGTGCTACAAATTTCACAAATGAACACTTCACTGAAAGAGCTTTGTAAGTTGCTATGATTCTGAGACAATTAGCCTAGACACCTTTTGGCACCTTGAAACTAGCTACCTTTGTGGCACATTTCATTATGTACTGTTACATTCAGTTAATACTACTAGCAAAAGAAGGAACTAACTCATAATCTTTGTATGCTTTATGCCATTGTGGGAATGCAAAGTGGCTGTAAAACCACCTTAAATAGCTAGTTATATGTGGCTGATCACTGATTTGCAGCTCCAGGTTATTCAAAGACAGAGCAGAGAATCTGACTCCAGGTTTACATGGGTTGTCTACTACACTTTATAGAGCATAAACACACGTCTCCTATGTGTCCTTCTCCTTTCCTTTTCATAATCTAAACAGAAAGAAACTATAGTGTTGCTTTCCCTTCACGTTCCTCTCCAGATTTTTGCATTCGTGTTGTTGAAACCAAATGGTCTATTCCAGATCACCTTTACAGCACAGGAGAAAACACTGCAGAGAGAACAGCACAGGGTAAGAGAAGAAAACAGAAAGAAGGATCACATGTTGTATCCATACATACTGGCTGCTTCAGGGGAGGACATGAACATAAAACCATGCCTCAATTTTTTCAGTGAACTGAACATAGGCAGAGCTAAACAAAATAAATGCAATTCTAAATATATGTGCAAAAAATCCCTGTACTCTTTCTAGTCTACAGGAAAGACATAGCTATAATTTCTTTTTTTAATACTTGCAAAGCATTTGTATGCTACAGTGGTGAGAACTACGATAGCAGAAAACGGCATACTATAGTCTGAAGAAAAATCAGAACCAGATGGGGTAGGAGCCTAGACTTGAAATTGGCTGGTATATGCCACTGTGCTACAATGAAATAACATAATAGTGTTTTGGAACTTTCCTTGGAGAGAACACAAGACATAGGAGATGTACAGGGGGACCAGGAGTTTTTGAAACTCCCATGCTGATTCTAGGTTTCCATGTCAGTCACTGACTTGACTTTACTAGGATTTCCCATCCCAGCAAGCTCGGCCATTTTCATAACATGGATATATCAAACCAGAAAAACACAACTGGACTTTTAAAACAAAATCAACTGAAATGTATCAGACATGTAAATTATTGATGCCAGTTTAGTTTTTACTAAGATTCACATCTCTGAGTAATCTGGCTATTCTATAACATATTTTATGATAAACGTAAATTTTTAAGTATTAATTAAATTGTGTATATACTTGCTCATTTGTTGTCCTCTGCAAGCTAGATCCTGTTAAGGCTTCTATTTCTTCCACTTGAATTGTAGCAAGTTGAGGCTCAATCACATTTTTCATTTGTGTACAGTCATCATCTAACTTGTGAATACTGGGTTCTGAATTTAACTGCCTCTCATTTGGAACTACAGGAGTGACAGGTTGTACCACAGACACTGACGAGGCATTTGGAGCTGTCACAAGCTGTACTGGCAGGGCATCACTGCTCTCATCTGCTGATGGATCAATGGAAATGGCATGACCCTGACACTCTAGATTGTCAGGCAATGGGTTTATCATTCTAGGACTCTCAGAACCACTGAGGGATCTCAACAAATCTCTGATTTCAAATTCACCAATATCTACACTCTGTTCAGTGAATGCTTCCATGAAAACTTTCCCTAGGCATGTCAGTGAAAGATCTGCATTGTTATTAGGGCAATGCTCTTTTACTCTCTTATCTGTGTCAATAATGGTCATGCAGGTTCTCTGTGGAAATATATGTTGTGGTGTCTGTTCTTTTGGAACCATTATTATATCCTCCTGAAGTGCATCTAGACGGCGGCTTACTTCTGGAGAGAGATCTTCATTACTTAACTTCTGTGAAATCTAAACATTAAAAAAAATTGTTTACAAAAAGTAATGGAACAACTCTTTCGAAAAAGCATGTCATTAACATTCACTTTAGAAGTCATCCACGTGTATACACATATTTTATTTGCAATTTTTGCATTAACTACAAGACTCAGAGCTTTCCCTAAGAACTCATACAATTTCTTAATAAGGGTTAGACTGAGGTCTCAGTATCAAAAGCAAAGCACTTCAGCTGTTGAATTCCCTTGCAGTCAAAATCCAGAGAAAGAGAGACTAAATCCGTTATAAAGTCAAAGATATTATGCCATTGACAATGACCCAAAGGTGTCAAAGGGCTTTAAAAGAAAGGCATTTAAAATCTCTGTCACCCAGAAATAATGAAAATAGACATATTCACAGTAACATAAAAAGCATAGTTAGTAAAACACAATATATGAGTTTTGATTATGTGTTTAGGTGGATCCCACAACGGTATGGAGCATTTGTACCTCACAAGCTTCAGTTCAAAACCTTAGGGGTATGTCTGGAGGCTGTACATTTGAGTTTCCACAGCAAGTACAGAACCACAAAACTGTAACTGTTCTTGGAAAAGTAATACTGCTACTGTTAATACTGTTTTTCTAATCACTTTGATCCACTTCCAACAGATGCACCCATTTTATACGAATTAATAGCTTTTTCATTTTTTTTCCTATCCCTGTTTCAAATGCTTCTGCAGGAGAAAATCAGATGCCTCAGCATACCTAAAACGTATTTTTGCTATATAACACTTGTGTATAATAGTGCTGTTCCTTAGTGATACTGGATCTAGGTAATACCTGACCTAGGTAACGGACAGCAGTGGTGAGAACAGCAGTATGAGGTGCGACCAGATGGACAATCTACTCAGCCTAGTAGCACAGCTATGACAGGAAGTAGAAAGGTTAAGGAGCATCAGGGAGTCCAAGAAAGAGATGGACTCGTGGAACCATGTTCTGCCCTCCCCATGACAGAAATAAGAACAGCCACCAAAAAAACCCCAAGATCAACAGGGTCCCATACCCTCCCTCTGGCCAGGCTGAAAGCAGTAGCTTAAACGTAAGGAGTAAATGGAGGCAAGTCCATGCTCAGGATGGCAGGGAAAGCCCCTCCTTTCCCTCCTTGCCTCCCTAGGTGCCTCTATACAACAGGTATGAGGCTCTGGACATGGAAGGACAGTCCATGGATGATGTGGACGACGGTCCAGTTACACCAGAGGTGCTGCCAAGGTCAGAAAGGTCTATCCTCCGCACCATAACCACCCCCACGAGGAAGAAAAGACAGGTTATAGTTGTAGGCAGCTCCTTTCTGAGGGGAACAGAAGGTCCAACATAGCAGACAGACCCTTCTCTTAGGGAATTCTGCTGCCTCCCTGGGGCACAGGTTAAGGACATCACTAGGAAACTTCCTAGTCTGGTGCAGCCCTTGGACTGTTACCCGCTACTGCTCTTCCATGTGGGTGGCGATGAAGCCGCTACTCATAGTACAAGGGTGATCAAAAGAGTCTTCAGGGCTTTGGGATGGCTGGTAAGGGAATCTGGTGCACAGTTTATTTTTTCCTCCATCCTTCCAATTGAAGGCAGTTACATAGGAAGAAACAAATGGGGCTGGTCTGTTAATATATGGCTCTGTGACTGGTGCCACTACCGCAATTTTGTGTTTTCTGATAATGGGATGCCCTACGTGGCACCTGGCTTGCTGGAGTTGGATAGGATTCACTTTTCTCAAAGGGGGAAGAGGTTCCTTGCTTGCAAGCTCATGGGGCTTTATTGACAGGGCTTTAAACTAGACTTGCAGGAGGAGGGGCATAATATCAGGCTTACCCGTGACAAGCTGTGTGAGGACATGCCAAGGTTAGAGGGACAGGGTGCGAGGGCCCTCAGCCAGTCGCTCTGAGACATGCTGGCTACACTGCAGCACACCTCAGCCAGTTGCTCTGAGATATGCTGGCTACACTGCAGCACACCTGAACTCTAAAGGAGATGAGCCAGGGGCTCTGGAGGCAACTGGGGCCAAAAGAGAAACACCAGCAAAAGACCTCAAAGGAATAAGGGGTGTTCCTTAAGACAGTGACATGGCCGACAGCCCAGCTGAAGTGCCTCTACATCAATGCACCCAGCATGGGCAGCAAACAGGAGGAGTTGGAAGCCACTGTGCTGCTAGAAAGCCACAAATTGGTTGTCACGACT